CACCTGATAATGGTCAGTTGGGCCGAAACATGTAGTGGTATACAGTAAAGAGGAGAAGATGAATGAATATTAAACAAAGTTGCTCAAAGGTGGCAAGAAGTGGAACACAGAGTCGGATCTACACACTACGCAACAGGATGGTTCAATAAAATATTAAATTTGCAGGCTTGTATGTACAAAGCATATATGAATGTTCTGTAGATAAATTTATGATAATGTGGAGTGCATATTAAATTTGCAAAAGTATGTCTGTCTGTCTGTCTGCTCTGTGCATGCAGTAACTAGAATTGTTGAATGTATACTCATGAAGTATGTTGTGGCATTGCAAAGAAATTTAACACATTCCAGCTTTGGTTACAATCAAACAAAATAGTGACACATTGTATGAAGACCTACATGCATTTCTTCAAATACCATTAGTGGAACTCACCAGGTATTTAATTATAGTGAGAAATGTTTTGAACAAAATTAATAAAGAGCGGTGGTGCACTTTTCTGTGATGTATACAGTTTTTGATGTAATTAAGTAGAAAGACACTGTGTACATGCCCTAACTTGTGTGTTTAGCATTTTAACAGTGGTCTTCCATACACGCCTGAAGATTAAAGGTCAACTATTTTCCAAACACATATGAATATTACCAAATTATTTTATTTTCAGTAGTAATTAAAGAAGTGGTAACTGGGTACACATTATTAAGGTTATGATATTCCTTTGCAGCTCACAGCTAGAAGGATCCCTAGGAATTCAAGTTGAGAGTGAGAGCAGGCAGGATCTCTCAATTGACCGAAACTCAGATCCATTACTAGAAACTAAGTTGAAGGAGGCTGCAAACAAGGAACTGAAGGAGCTAAATGAAGAGAAGAGGAAATCTGCTCGTAGAAAAGAGTAGGTCTTCTTAGAATTTGATGATACTGTATCAGCTCAGAATTTGGGGAGTCTCCCCTGAGAAACAAGGATAATGAGATTGACAGGAGAGACCGAAAATGGTCTCGGTTTCTTGTAATTGATGCTAGTGATATGAGATGCTTCTTGAATCCTCTTTTACCCAAGTGTCAGTCTCACTTCATGTTGATATACTCCATTGTTCCTGACTAAGTTATGGCAGTATAATCATTGCACAAAGTACGGAGGAAATGGTGTACTTCAGCCTCTCCAGGGGCCAAAACATGACAACTCCATCACTGGACTAGCCTCGTGAAAGGATGGTAAACTGTCCAGTAGGCTAACTAGTGCTCTTAAGGAGTAGAGACCAAGACCATCTTGGGACTCATGGAAACAAGCCTGAACAACCTAGCCCTACAAAGTTTACAGTAGCTAAGTAACTGGGACCAAAAGGCTTCAGGTGTTTGTAAGATTACAGCAAAAAAATCATAATTGGAAATCTTTGGAGAAAATATGTTGCAGTGAATGTAATGTAAAGTTAGATAAAAGTAATGACATTTCTCAAAACTGGGCCCTAAAGTGAATGATAAAGATAATTTGAAAATTACTGCTTGGGGAGGCATGACTTTTAAAGGAGAAGATTGTATTTAGCATCTGTCTATAATTGATCACTTCACTGTCAGAAATATTTTGGCTTGTAATGCAGCATGTAAAGGTATTGAAATTAACCAGTTTAATGACATCATTCTACAGTGAATTTGCATACTGCAGCAATGGGTTAATTGAACTGAAACTTTGTTGTTTAGGTTCATTATGGCAGAGCTCTTACAAACGGAGCGAACATATGTGAAAGATCTGGAGACATGCATAAAATTCTTCCTGGAAGAAATGCGTTCAGGTGGAGCAAATGTACCAGCACCTTTGCAGGGCAAGGAGGATGTTATATTTGGCAACATGGAGGAAATCCATGACTTCCACAATGATATATTTCTTCGGGAGCTAGAGAAATATGAAACTATGCCTGAGGATGTTGGTCACTGTTTTGTTACTTGGGTGAGTATGCTTGTATTTGCTGAGGCTTAGGCAGTGGAACACCCATTTAAATTTCTTGATTTAATGTTTTCCCATATTTTATGTTTAATTTTCAGTCATCTCATGGCAATAATCTGAATGATAAATTACTTCAGTTTTAGATTTTCCTCAGTTTACTGTTCACATCCACTGCCCCCTCAAAGAAACTTTCAATAGGAGTTCCACTGTATGTGATAATCACGTGTGTATTTACAAATACGTAGTATGTTATGACTTATTAGGCATGTTGGTCTTTTAAAACCAGAAGTAATTTTTCAATGAAAATGTAACTTGTACATGCATATAGGAGTGATTTTGGGAGCCTAGAGAAGAATGAAAATGAGCGACTCTCATGTAAGTATCTGTGGTGTATGATGTAGACCAGGGTGGGCAAGAGCTGGCATGTTGGCCTGGTCCAGCCAGGCTATGTTATGGCAACCTCATTGAGATACAAACAAGTGTATATGTGTATTTTGCATACAGCTACATTAGAAATTCAGTTTAATTTTATAGCTATAAGGTTAAAGTAATTCTAATAAATAAAACATGTTTGAACTCTTGTTTCTTTTGTTGAGTTAAAACCTGTTAATTACTGCAGTTACCCAGAATTGTTCTATGTAGCCTATATAAATGTGAGACATAAATTGCACATTTACACTTTTCCACCAATATAGATATGTGACGTTTACAACTTATATAAGCTGATATGACCTACCAGCCAAAATAATTGCCCACCCCATAATGTATGCAGAAGAAGAGGAAGCACATCTACCACTGCACTCATTTATGGAACTGGTTCCTCTGTTGTTGTCTTCCCTGGAAATCAGGTCCTCTGTTCTTCAGATGAATTTGTATCTCATATTAAAAAGAGTTTTAATATAGTAATATGTGGTGCAATCCAAAAGTTCCTGAAATATATTAATAAAAACTATTACATCTCACCTTGATCTTATTCTGCACCATCACCTTCAAAGTAGTCACCTTGGGAGCCCATACACTGATCCCAGTGTTTCTGCCACTTTTGAAATGCATCCTGGAAGTCTTTCTTTGTTAGGGTGTTTAATACTGTCTGCGTTTCTGCTTGAATTTCCTCAGCTGTATCAAATATTCGCATAGAGATAAGTCTGGTGAGTACGGTGGGTGGTGAACAACTGCCATCTTGTTTTTAGCTAAAAATTCCTGCACAATGTAAGCCATATGGGGTCGTGCATCGTCATTGTGGAGTACCCAGTCGTTCATGCACCACTTCTCTGCACGTTATCTCTTCATGTCTTCCCTCAAACACCTTAGAACATCATGATAGAACTCTTTATTGACTGTCTGACCAGGAGGGACGAACTCCTTATGACAATCCTGTCAATATAAAAAAAACAGATCAACGTGGACTTAATGTTGCTCTTGACTTGTCAAACTTTTTTTCTTTTGGCCTAGGTGAAGAAGGGCTTTTCCATTGCGACAATTGCTGCTTGCTTTCAGGGTCATAGCCATAAACCCAACTTTTGTTACCAGTGACAACCTTCAAAAGAAAATTTGGATCCTCTTGAAGCTGCTGTTGAAGTTTCCTGCAGACTGCCAAGTGATGCTGCTTCTGTTCATTTTGCAACAGTCGTGGCACAAACTTCACCACAATCCTCCTCATGTTCAGTTCCTCTGACAAAATTTGTTGACATGTACCATAACTTATTCCCAAGGTGTTACAGAGGTCTTGGATGGTCAGTCTACGATCTTGCAGAATAAGATCCATAACTTTCGCGACATTTTCTGGTGTGCTGCCAGTTGACGGCTGTCCCAACGATCGTCGTCATCAGTCGATATCCGACCATTTTTGAAGCTTTTATACCAGTCATAAGTTTGTGTGTGACCTAAACTGTTGTCACCAAAAGCTTGCTTCAACATTTGGTGTGTTTCTGCAGTGGTTTTCCCAAGTTTAAAATAAAACGTTATACAGACATGCTGCTGTCTCAGGTCAGCCATCGCAAAACCGCAAACTAACGGAAACACAACAATGGAAATACGTTCACCAACAATAAACCCAACCACTCAATCTGACGCTGCTTGCCACACTGATTGAAGAAGGGTGTGTTGGGAGACACCTAGCGCTATTTTGATGTACTCATAACCATTCGCGCACAAAATTCAAATTTTGGGAACTTTTGGATTGCACCACGTATATCTCATGCAATTCATGATCTTTATTTAACAACAGTTTAATTGTGTTGTTTATACAGGCTCAGAAGTTTGACATGTATGTAAAATACTGCAAGAACAAGCCTGAGTCGAACTCGTTACTGGTGCAGCATGGAGGATCTTTCTTTGAGGAGCTTCAGAAGAAACACAAGGTGGAGCATCCTATTGCAGCATATCTCATCAAGCCTGTCCAACGCATCACTAAATATCAACTGTTGCTCAAGGACCTTCAGTCATGTTGTGAAGAGGGGCAGGGTGAAATAAAGGTGGGTTTATATTCTCCTATTGGTACGTTTAGTTTAATTCCGGTATCAGGCATAACGGTGTCAGTAGTCTCTATGGAAATATGTTGTCAGCAATTTTTCATGTCATGGAATGTTACAGTTGTAACAGTCCCATGGAATCTAGTTGAGAAACAAGACAGACAGGACAAATGCACCCTTTGAGTGGCATTTAATGTATGCATTTTGATTATGCGTCATATTTATAAATGGTTCACATATGTGTATCACATTTTATATCAAGCAGATGTTAGTTACTGACCTACATGTCAGAACAATTGCATGAAATTTGACAACACTTTGGATGCCACACATTCTATATGTATTATTACTACTACAAGGTGGTTCAAATATGACTGGGACTGAGTTGTGTGTAAACAAGCCGCACTGTGCAGCAGCTGTGCGACTTTGAGAGAGTGAGGCCACAACCTCCACCCTCACTCCTGTTAGGGTTAGAACCTGTTCAGTCCTGTCTGGGATTTGCTAGAGTGATGAGTGAACAGAAGGTACCGTGGAGCGTGGAACAACGCATTGTGATCAAATTCCTTGTTGGAGAAGACATCCCGTCCATGAAAATTCACCACAGACTCCAACAACAGTATGGGGAAGAGTGTCTCTCACAGACCCATTTGTTTGAGTGGTGTAAGTGCTTCAGAGAGGTCAGAGAGCGCGTGAAGAATGAACTGCATGATCGTCGGCCGCGAACATCCATCACTGAGCCAAACATTGATCGTGCAGACCCTCTTATTTGTGAGAATAGGCGCATCACTATCAAGGAACTTGGAGCAATGCTATCCATCAGTGTTGGTAGTGTAGAAGACATCATGAAATACCACCTGCACTATCACAAGGTGAATGCACGGTGGGTACCACGCACTTTGACGGACATGAACAAAATGGTGCGCATGCAAGCTGCCAGTCATCTCCTACAGCAGTTTGAAGTCAAAGGTGATGCATTTTTGAAGTCTTTAGTGACCACTGATGAAACGTGGGTGCACTACTTCATTTCCGAGTCCCAGCAGTCATCATGCGAGTGGCATCATACCAGTTGTCCCAAACCCAAGAGAACGTGGAGGAGCCGTTCAGCAACGGTTCTTCTGGTTCTGGCAGGGGGTTATCCATGTAGACTTTCTGGCAAATGCCAGAACAGTCAATGCAGCTAATTACTCAGACCTCTTGGCAACGGACATGAAGGAAAAGATCCGATCCAAGCGGAAGACACGTGGAAATGGGTAGCTTTCCTTTAAGACAGTTCACGCCCCCATACGGCCAAAACAACAATGGAAACCCTCCGGAAACTGAAATGGAACCTTCTGACACATCTGCCATACAGTTCCGATTTGGCCTCAAGTGATTTCTACCTGTTCGGAAGGCTCAAATCAGACTTCCAAGGCGTGCGGTTTGTGGACAATGATGCCGTCATCCAGACTGTTTGAGAGTGGATACGCCTCCACCACAAGCCTTTTTTGAAAAGGGCCCCAGGATGCTTCCAGAACGTTGGATAAAATGTGTTGACTCTGGAAGGGAGTACGTTGAAGACTGACGTGTGCAAGTAAGTGTTTGGCAATTATGTTTTAAAAAAAAAAGTCAGTTCCGGTTATATTTGAACCACCTTGTATGTTAGTGATTTTATCTAAATCATGAAGTTTTACACAAACGGTATGTAAGACATTGATCCCTATAACTTTTATCCAAGACATTCTTCTCTCAAGTTAATGCATATTTAGGTTTGTCCTAAGATGCATTTAGGCTATAACTATTCATTGTCTGCTGGTACTTAGCTGTGAATGCCCTCCTAACAGATAGTGTGCTTTTTGTATCCTGGCTTCATTGTAAAGCATGTAGACTGAATGTAAATCCATATTTCCCTTACCTATTCAAAACCTCACGTTTATGATTATGACCACTCTTGCTCAACCGTTTGCAAAATGGTACCAGAAAAGAGGCACAGTGCAATTTTAGGTGAAGAAGAAATTAAGGGTATAATTAAGATCCGTCACCAGAACAAGTGATTATAAACCAATATTCAGCTCTTTAATATTCGGTTTATTTCATTTTCATTTCTCTTCATATTTTGATCTGCGCAGATCATCAGCAGGTGGTTTACAAATATACATGCCGTTATTGAATTGTCAGATTGGATCCATTTTTTATTAATTTTAATATCAGCATAAAATTTGTTGTTTTATTGATGGCTCACAGTTATAATTTAATCATGGTACATAACAGGATGGAAGATAAAGAGATAAAGAAATTGTTGTGGAAGGTTGTAATCAGCCAGATCCTCTTACTGTGTAATGGCTTCCAGTCCTGGCACACTTTATTACTTTAAGTCAGTTGTCTTATTGCCAACATATCACAGGTTTTCATTTAGAAGTCACAAGGTGACATCCGTGAGTTTACAATGGGTTGTGACATTTGGGTCCATGTGCCATTGCAAACAAATGCTCAAAAGTTTCAGAGGCAAGAGGGCTGCCTGACAGGTAGTTGTCTGTTTTCTTTTTTGGTAAAATTTTGGTCAAACCACATGTGCAAAAGTGCAGAAGAGGTAAATATTGAAATATTTGTTTTGCAAATATATAGCATTTTGTTTCCATATAAGCTTTCTCACATAGAACAACTGTAGAACGGCATGCCAAAAGTTGTTATATTCCATTGCTCTGTGCTCATAACTAGCCAATTCTTTGTATAGAATCCCAGTACTAATAAGGTAAGACTTAAAATTCAATGAGCCGCAATTTCATGGCCATTGTTTTCGTGGTTAGGGAAGTGGGGATGTAAGAAAATTATGTTGAGGTGACACAGTTTTACATGACCTTTTTATTGGCATAAAAACCCAGTAGATTGAATGTAAGAAGGCGAAAGCGTGCATGTGTCCAGTCAGTCACATGCATACTCACTCATACATGTTTATAGTATGCATCACTGTAATTGTTTTGGCTTTGGAAACTAAACTAAAAGTCCACGACAGGTAAAACATTTACACTGCTTCTGTTCTGTCAGTGAAAGTGGTTTAAAGAATGATACTTTGTGTTTTTCAGGATGGTCTGGAAGTAATGTTAAATGTACCAAAGAAAGCAAATGATGCAATGCATCTTTCACTGTTAGAAGGCTGTGATGTGACCCTCGATAAACTGGGCGAGGTTATCCTACAGGATACATTCCACGTATGGGACCCCAAACAGATTATTCGAAAAGGCCGTGAACGACATATTTTCCTCTTTGAACTCTATCTTTTATTCAGTAAAGAGGTCAAAGACTCAAGTGGCAAAGCCAAGTATCTTTACAAGAACAAGCTCATGGTAAGCATTAGAAACAGCATGTCTCTTCACTTGGAAACTGCTGTAAGTGTTTTGTAGATGAATGATTTAGTTTTGCAAGTTACACAGTGATCAGTTTTTATTTTTGGATGTGCCTGTCTCTATAAAAGTCATTTATGTACAGTATTATCTTGCATTTACATACAACAAATATAAAAGAATATTTAGGTTTTTTAAGTAAAATGTTATTCCTGTTTGTCTGATGCAACCCCGTGTTCCCATCATTATGTTCTTCTTATGGTTTCTCATATCATGTTTCATTATGAAAATATTCTGGAGTTATAGTTCTACACACATAAGGCCAAATTGTTTGTTTAGAGTGGATGAAGTTTTTGATGAATGGGTAGGGACAAATAATGAATTAATAAGTACTTCATCTTACAAAGTATAGACTGCATAATAGTGCATGTGCCTGTGCATAGGAAACTGTGTATATGTTACATCCCTGTTTCATGCTACAGGATTTGTTTCTTTTAAACAAACAAATCTGTGGTAAGATTTCATCAGGTCAGATAGCCATTTTCTTTTAAATCACATATTGTGTGACTTATCTGTGTACTTGTGACAGTAATTTTTGCAAGATATTCTATTCAGTTTTTGCCTAAATCATAAAAACATGACAGTTACATGCAAGAGTGTGAGTGGTTTGCATGGATGTGTTTAGTTTCATGTACTTGAAGGAATTATTGCACAGGCGAAGAAAACAGAAAAAGCAACATGTAGAAAGTGTGACATTATTGAAAAATTATTAAGTTCTTAAAAATGGAAGCCTCTACTTGAAGGATAATGTGTTTATGTAGCCACTCTGTAATCCCCTTCTCTGGTAGAAAGCATGTTAAAATTCATTCCTCCATTTAATATAGAACACATTGAATAAAAATGAGTGTCATCCAAATTTACTGGGAGCTATGTTAAATGAATTGGAAGAGTGTCCACAAGATTGGAAAGAAATGCACAAGGATACACGTAAGTGGAAGTGTACATCATCTCTGTTTTAAGAATGAGCTTTGTAAGATGTCTGAATAAGTCCCCTTGCATTGGCAATTGTAAGTGGGAGATCTGTTTTTCTATAGTATATTCTGTAATGGTGGAGCTGTTGTTAAATGTGTTTTTCTTCCACAGACGTCTGAGCTGGGTGTCACTGAACACATTGAGGGAGATGAATGTAAATTTGCTGTCTGGACTGGCCGGGCCCCAATTTCTGACTACAGAATTGTGCTGAAGGTTAGCTCTCATTTATAGTTGGTTGGTCTGTTTCCAATGGCTGCATTTGGGATCATTTAATCCATTTTGCTTCTTGCTACCCAATAGAGAGCACTCAAGTTCTTGCTTTGTTGCATCTTGAAGAAGTTTGCACTTTTCTTCTGGGAAACTTTGCCAGGTTTGTTGCTTATTTTGCCCTACCCAGGGGACATGTATGACTTAAAGAGTGTCACAGACGCGAGCAACTTTGTCCCCCCTCTCATTTATAATTGGACATTTAAAATTAGTAACTTTGAAGTCTTTCGTTGTTAACCTTTAAGAGCCGAGCGACACCATATGGCGTCATGAAAATAAAGTCAAGGGGATGAATGACGCCATATGTCGTCACGCAGTCCACGCGTGCGGCTGGCTTTTTAAAATCTAATTTTAAGTTATAAATTCTTTTTCTACTTACATGATTTTTGGTCACCAGCTTTATAAGTTGTCTCTCTTCCCACCTGCGTCGTCTAACGGAGTTGGCTTCATGTGGAAATCTTGGAAACATCCGGAAATCCAGGGTCCGACGTCGCACTTCACGCACTTTGTCTAGACGGTTCTTCGTTTCCCACGCGAAAAGCACACATGACACCCCAATTGCGAAGTAGAGGAAGTGGGCCAGTGATGTGGTTTGGCCTCCTATAATCGAGATATCTCCGATAAAACGGCAGGGGTTCGACCCCTGGGCCATTGATGGCGAGGTGGTCCCCTTCCAGCATGTTCCGCACAAGAGCGAGACGAAATTCTCTGTGTGACAACAGGATGTAACTGTTCAGATCCAGGAGATGGAAAAATAGTTTATTTGTCCATTTCCAGGTTCGACGACAGATGCTATAACTGTTTGCCACAGTTTGCCCACAGCTCCACCTGAATAATTATTCACACTCCTCTTGCCACGCTGGTGTGGTGGTCCCCAGATTGCCGACGAAGATGATGGGTCTTCGTCGAAATCCATTTCTGAATCACTTTCCTCAACGCCACTCTCAGAATTGTCGGTAAAACAATCTGATTCTGAGTCATTTGTGAGTTGAAAAATGTCTGAATCTTCCAAACAAAACGACGCCATGGTGAGCTGACAATATCACTGTTCTCGCTGCGAAACTTTGAAGCTCTATGACACTGCTTGGCTGTGCTTGGCCTTGAGAGTTGTGATAATCTAACCGAGCCTGGTCAGTACAGAGAAATTGTTGTGTATAAAGAATCAACGTTCTTATAAACGGAGATATACAGGCCCACATCTCTGCATACCAAAGAAGGTACGTGTATATGCTTCGAGACATGCGAGACTAAACATAATCATCTTCATAATCATTCGCTGTGTTGCCACTTCTGCATAGAG